TAGGCGCTCTTCTACTGCTTGGGCTGATATGGAGGACTACGACGCGGGTGGTGCTTCGGGAGATGGTGTGGCGGTTCCGGGTGCCTCGTGCTCTACGACGCTAGTGGTGGCTGATGTCCATGTGTCAGCTGTTGACGATGATTGTGCGTCTAATTTACCTCCTGTTCTTTCTCCTGCAGAAGGTTCTCCGCAGTGGGAGGTGGTTGCTCCTACGGGCGTGGATGGTGTGGATCCTGGTACGAGCCGAGGCATCAAGCTGGTGCTGAAAAAGGATGCCAAGCGTGGGGGGTCCCGGCAGGTGCAACGTTCAGTGGTTGCCGAGGAGCCCTGTGAGGCAGCTGAGGAGGCTCCCAGTGTGCTGCCCATTGCCCGGCCTCTTGGGAAGGAGCCTCTCCCTCTCATCTTGGCCTCCGGAGTGGCGATGGATGCTGACCATCCGTTGCATTTTGAAATTGTTGACCGTGTGCGTCCTGCTCCGTGGTGCCCTTCTACCATCTGGATTCGTCGGGCTAAGTGTTTTATTGTGGGTGTGCCAGAGTTAATGCCCGATCCTCGTACGCTCAATAGTGACCATGTTTCGGAGGACATTATGTTACTTTGGGAAGCGTACTGTATTCGCTTCCCGGCGGAAGAGTGGCCGGACAAGTATGAGATCTTTTCGTAGTCTGTGTGCTTGCTGTGCGTTTTATTTTTCTTTTGTTTTCTTGTGTTTTTGATGTTGGCCCTTCAGGCCGGTGTTTAGTGACTTGTGTTTCTGCCTGCTTTTTTATTGTAATTGGCCTCGCCTTTTGTTACGGGGCGTTAATGTATTGATTTTCTGTTGCTTTAACTGTTGCCTCTTGTTGTATGTTTTGTTTTTTGAAGGTGTTGTTTTGTACTGTGATTGCTGGATTGCCATTGTATTCTGTTTTATGTTTTGATGTATGCTGTATTTTTCATGTTTTTCTTGTGTATATGTTTTGTTGTGCTATGCTGTTTTGTTGTGCTCGGCTGTCGGCCCTTCTGGCCGGTGGTCTATTGTATTCCTTTATGTATTCTGTATTTTTATTGTATTTAATTTGCATGCTCTGCATGTAAAAATAAAAATAATAAAAAAAAAAAAAAAACTTAACTGTGAAATACAAGCCGGGTGCAGGCAATCCCGTTGATTACATCAGTCGACATCCTGCCAACAGTTTCACCATCACCAAGCATCAGCTAGTTGCCGAGGAATATGTAAACTCTGTAACCTGTGATACAGTACCTAAGGCTCTCACTCTTGATGAAATCGGTACTGCTACCCTAGAGGACCCAACTCTGCAAGCAACAGTGGATGCATTGATTAAGAAAAGGTTTCCACGCATCACACCTTCCGGAGTTGACCAAGATGCATTCAAAGCACTTGAACGCATTCAAGTGCATTCAAGATGCATTCAAAGCACATCCAGACAGAATTAAGTTTTATGCGATACCGTGCTGTGAGGTATTCGTATCGTCATTTCAGCAGTTCTCCAGCAGCGTGCTCTGAATCATGCACATCATGGACACCAAGGTCTTGTTAGGACCAAACAGCTGTTATGAGAAAAGGTGTGGTTTCCTGGCAATGATCGTAAAGCAAGGAACATGCATGATGCCTGTGTCCCTTGTTAAGCTGCAGTGGATGCTTCACGACCAACACCTATACAACCTTCACCACTACCTGCTGCACCATGGACGGAAGTATCGATGGACTTCTGTGGACCGCTACCAACTGGAGAGTACTTGATGGTAGTCATTGATGATCACTCACGTTATCCAGAAGTAGAAATCATCACTTCCTCATCTGCAAAGGCTGTCATCCCGAAAATCGACAAGATCTTTTCAAATTTTGGCATTCCTGAAGTTGTCAAGACTGACAATGGACCGCCATTCAATGGACAAGACTTCGTCAACTTTGCTGAGCATATTGGATTCAAACATCGCCGTGTGATGCCACTACATCCTCAAGCATATGGAGAAGTTGAGAGATTCATGCAACCTTTCATGAAAGCGGTACACTGTGCTCATGCCGAAGGACGATCCTGGAAACAAGCTATGTATGCTTTTCTCAGGAACTACCGTGCAACACCGCATGGAACACTGGGCAAGTTGCCTGGCGAACTCTTATTTGGACGTCCTATGAGGATACGCTACCTGTCATGCCAGCTGAGGTAACGGATACACGTCTCGCTCAGAAGGATGCACTAGCCAAAAGCAAAATGATAATTGCTCATGACCAACGTGCAAAGGAACAATTCTTAAAGGTTGGTGACACTGTTCTAGTTAAAAAGAAAAAAAAGAGGGAAAGCTAGATATGCTGTATGATACAAAACCATATAAAGTGATAAGTGTAAAAGGAAATATGGTAACAGTGAGTAATGTTAAATGTATGCAACATCTTTTGATATGTTAATAACTTACTTTGTGTCAATAAATTTGCTCTGTGCTACAAGCATGGTAGACAACCTGTATTCATTCTTTTTAAAGAAAAGGAGGGATGTCATGTTCATAGCAAACGGCACCATCCGTTTGTAAGTGCTGCGTTTCATAGCAGTAAACGCCACGCAAGCAGTAAATAAACAACAGAGAGCGTACAGGACGCCCGCCGAGCTTGGAAGCTGCTAGTCATGTATCATTCTAAGTATTAAAGTCTGTAACCAAGCAATGGCTTTATATCAACCCTACAACCAAGACTTCCCAAGCAACACACAACACCACATTGAGGCGTTACTGTAGCTGTTCACGAGGATAGAGTGAGTTGTCTATCGTGCGTGATGTGTGTATCGTAATTCTGCAGGAGCACTCTGATTTCGTGTGTGGTTTGTTATGATTCTGTTACCTTCCTCTTCCTCAGCTTGGTGACAACATTATGTGTTGGTTCCATTATGTCTCAATGGAATAGGTAGTCAAACTAATTTTGCTGTGTAGTTAATTATATTCAGTCCTAGTGAATACTATTTTATTAAGTATAAACACTACACTGAAGTTTTAAAAGAGATAAGAGTTTTATATATTACGTGTTGTTGATGACGTCACAGAATCTCCCGTTCTCTGAATTTTAAGGGTAACTTATGTTATGTGTGCCGGATTTCCGACCTCAAGGATGGACGGTAATTATTAACTGAGCCTGAAACAGTAGACGGCTTGGATATGACACCAAGCAAGACCTTATAAGGTGGTCCAGTTTACTAGTCCCCCGTCAGGCGTAGGCTTCCCACAGTCGGGGACAGGAAGCCTGCTGAGACTTCTAAAGGTCCCTGTTGTCCAGCTACTGATCTTCCTGAAGATGGAACCCACAAGTGTTGCTATAAATTCTGGGTACCTATTCAACCGTCGGCTGAACTAATGCGCATCATTATGCATGATATGGTTTCCAACGTACAAATTACAGAGTACTGGGAAAAGCAGCTGCCCCTAAATATCCGTTTTCTATACATCGATAGGTTAGGGTTGGTACACTTTATGCACTTTTGGTTAAGATAATACATTGTAATTTATACGCTGTGGCAAATCAAGAGAGCGGTTTGACCTACTAACTGCTATATAAACAGAGGCATCGGGTGAATGGAAAGTACAAATAAATCACATTAACGTGTGTATCAATGAGAAAATCAGTAGGAGCCAATCCCAGGAGGCAATGTTTAAAACCATGTGGTGGTGCCTGAGGCACCTATTCAACCGTTTCAACGGAGGCTATGACCTGGAGCATAGCTTCCAATTCCCCTCATGGCTCCATTTTCTCTGGTGATGGGAAACTTTGCCCAAACGCCTCTGTCCTGCCAAAAGAATCGAGACCAAAACCTTTAGGTCGTGACCCGACTACACTAACCATTATGCTAAAGGACCCTCAGTAGCCTGATGGGGCAGCTTTTTTTTTTTTTAGATATATACAAGAGTTGTTACATTCTTGTACAGCCACTAGTACGCGTAGCGTTTCGGGCAAGTCCCTGGAATACGATCCCCGCCGCGAAAAATCGTTTTTACAACCAAGTACACATTTTACTGTTGAGTTAAACAGAGGCTACAGTTAAGGATTTGCGCCCAGTAAATCCTCCCCGGCCAGGATACGAACCCATGACAAAGCGCTCGCAGAACACCAGGCGAGTGTCTTACCACTACGCCACGGAGGCCGGGGAGCTGTAAGGTAAAAGTAGCAGGACAGACACGACGCGAGATGGAAGCCAACTTTCCGTACAGGAAAAGGAGAAAAATCTGATAGTCAATACCAACCAGACCTCAGAGCTTCACAGTAACAAAATAATGAAGGCAGCATATGCAAGATTGGATCTAATCCCCTAAGGTGAAACGCCTTCAAAATGTTAAACACACATTATATGAGAACAACCCTTCATTAAGCAGCCCGGGCATACAGACCCTCACCTCCAACCATTTCCTAGAAAATACGTAGGTATATCACAAGACTTGTCCCTGAACCAAGAGAAATTAGTTCCACTAAAAGTCTGAAAGTATTGGAAGACACCACACCTGAGGAAACAACTGGGACGGAGGGGCCTAACATGTTAAAGTTATAACACTTAAGGAAGTCGATAAAGTTAAAAAGGTAGCAAAGTTCCAAAGAAGAAAGAGTGGAAGATGGGACAATATAATACATATTGCATAACTACATAATCGAAAAAATTACTGTATTAAAGATTTTTAGCATAAGAATTATAATTAGATGGAAGGGGATTTTGTTGAAAGATATTCCATGTGCAATATAGAAACGAATGTAAAAAGTTACACAAAGGAACAGAGTAATTACATTGTCCCGCCAGTAGCTAGAATGCCAGACGTACGAAGTTGAAGCTTAATCTTGAAGGTAATATTGACAAGTTCATAAATACATCGCTCAAGAGCTTCAGAAATTTCCAGTATTACTTATAGATGATTACAATTACTCACAGCTCATTACCATTTCCACTAAACTCATTCATTAAAAATAAATGTAAATCTGTTTCGCCTGACACTCACAATGATGTTAACGTTGCTCAATCGACTCACAGTTTCGATGTCCATGAGGCTGTGAACCGCACCTGGGGAGTGGAGACGAACGGCACCTTCACCGGAACCATTGGTCTCCTCCAGCGGGAGCAAATGGACTTTTCCACTATTACAGCTCCGACGGCAAAGCGCCTCAGGGTTGTAGAATATATTAATGGCTACCCTTCCGAACCCTTCACAATAACCTCCCTCAAGCCAACACTGCTGCCAAAATACCTCGCTTTTATACGTCCATTTGAAGGTAGATTCATACATTTTGATGTAGAGATAAATCTTCTTGTGTGACCTTTAGTGATAGATTTGAGTGGGTTGATATATATTACTGATGTTGTTATTGGAAACTGGAAGCTTCTCATTAATTTTATTATGAACACTCACCTCCAATTTTCCTAAGATCCTCAGAATGTAGTGATTTTCTCAGATTTTCTCCCCCAGTCAAGACATCTTCACTAAACTAGTTTTATCCAAATATGTCCAATAATTAAACCCTTAAAATAATTAAATATGTTATTGAAAAATAAAATAAATAAATACTTATTAATAAGCAGACAAAATGAAAATGATCACTGTGGCAAACATCCAAGTTGGTCAGCCTCTCCCTCAGGCAGGACGTGTTTCTACAAAACGAAGTTATAATCCAATATGACAACTTGCGAGCTCGATGCTGCCATTCACTCCCAGTTGGTCGTCACAGATCATACCCAACTCTAAACAGGATTTATGGCAGGTTGTTCATAATAATTAATGGAATTGTTTCTTACATCTATTGACTTCAATAGCTTCAATAACAAAATGTCTCAGCTAGGGAAATCATTTGTCTTGTTGGCACAGCTAACTCTACTCATAGAGTACAGTTCATAACATAGGTCATAACATTTGTTATATTCTAGATCATTGAATTATGTTGAAATAGAAACATGCATTCACTCCCGGGGTATATATTTTTAACTTCTTGAAGATTAGTTATATATTTGTTATATCAATGTATATTGCACTACATTAACACTGCCTTTTCCCTTACATGAATTTGGAGATTCTGGAAATAAATGAATATATTAGTAGTATTTATACGTAAGTAGAATAATTATATAGTCTAAGTATATAGTCTGAGTACATAGTTTAAGTATATTGTCTGGGTATATAATATAAGTATATAGTCTGGGTATATAGTTTAAGATTACATACGGTTTATCCTATACTAAATACCCATAATTATTACATTTGACAGAGAAACACTTAAGTTACCTGAGACTCTTTCCAATGTCTCATTGCTAAGGCTGCCAGAATTGCCAGTCAGTACGTGGACTACATATTGAAACCCAACCAATGTGGTTACGAAGTATTCTAAGGATGTGAAGCAGACGCAAACGAGGACAACTTATTAATTGCCAACATAACAGTTCGGTAAACTCTTGTTATTCTTAGAAAAACCCTTATTATCCCTTCATATACTCGAGGTACTTTGCCAATTCACAGGACTACTATTCATAAAAGCCACTCAAGTAAAGATGCCCAGCAAAGGATCTCTTTACCTTCGTGAATTTAGCAACTTAAATTCTGTGGTTGCTCCCCACACATGGGATTTCCTTTTGTCAATCTCCGTATTAGTGCGAGGGACGTGTCTCGTCTGTCCATACTGAGTTGCTCCTCAGCCTCACCAACGAAATTCATAGAGAATGCAGGTGAATTTACTGGCAGGTAGGAATTATTGGTAGAAATTGGTAATTACATAGTTTGATATATGGAAACCTCAAGCGATGGCACACAAGTTCATCAAAGTCAAGAAGATAAAAGCAGTCTCTCCATCGCCCATCATAAAGAGAACCCCATTTTGTAGTGTTCCATAATGCCGCGGGACTTGACAGTGGTCCAGATGAGATTACACTATGTTCCTTAAAGACTAAACGTTAACTATTGTGGGTCAATACATGCGTATCCACACTAGTTGACACCTACAGTCACCCCTCACCACTGATGAGGGGTTGTTTCCAGTTTGGAAACAGTTTACAGTTTCCAGTTTGTTTCCAGTTTCCAGAGGAGTTTCCAGTTGGTCACTGTTGCCAACTGGAAAACTGTCAAGTCCATTATGTACAAATAATGGATCTCAGATACGAAAGTACACAAGAATTTCAGTCTACAGCTCATCAAGACATCAAGAGACCACAGGGCTTCTAGCATACGTTCCCTGTGACTCAATGTGGCGATCTGGAGAGAGAACCTGCCCACTTTATCTCTACACTCTTTAAAATCTTATTGTATTTACAAATGTAACAAATTATTTTTGTTGGGATCCAATAAAACTCTTTCGAATATAAATATTTTATCTTTGAATAAAGATACTCAGTAATTCAACCAGAGATGGTACGCCTATATTCCTTATCCAGGAGAGCTGTGGGTGGCGCTGGTGGTGAGTGTTGTGGTATGGGGCGCGACGCTGTGGCTGCTGCAGAGGGCGTGGCAGAAGGTGGCGGGAGGCCGTCGTGTGGAACTCAGTACCATCATTCTGTACGGCTACGGAGCTCTCCTGCAGAACCTGCCCTCCGAACCCTCCACCACCACCTCTGGCAGGGTGCGAACTTTTGTAGTTTATTGTTATCACATTTTTTGTTAACATTTCTTAAAATACACAAGGAAATCTCACTAACGTAATATATTAATGATAAAAACAATTGGAGCAACGTGGGGATTCGAATTCCCGACCTGCATACTCCCTAGTCGTACACCTTACCTCTGGACCACGCCACAGTTTAAGTTACACGATCTGGGCTCCAGCAATGTTCTAATCGACTTTCTCATTCCTTAAAATAGTGCTCCACATTAATAAAGACTTCTCTATATTTCAGTTGAACCAGTGTTGTGTTGAACAGAACACACACATGTGTGTTGAACAAAACACACACATGTGTATTGAACTAAACACACACATAATATCTAAAATGTTAAATAAAACACCAATGACAGAAAATTTTCCAGAACTCTGAGAAGTGACTTAGTCCCAATATTCAGAAAAGAGACAGACAAAAGGTCCTAAATAACAGACCAGTCACTGACCAGTGAAAAAACGCTGGAGAAAGTAATTATGCTGAGAATTGTAGAGTATCTGGAGAAGATCAACATTTTAATAACGGGGGCAGCATCGATTTAGAAGGGAAAATCGTTCCATTGTTCTAAACTAAAGGGTACAGTAAGGGTCTATTGTGTAAGGGAGTGAGTTTGCACATGTCAATGTTTTGCAGATTATGCAAAGGTGATAAGCAATGTAAAAACGAATGAGGAAAGCAGAAAGATACCAGAGTATCATAACAAACTTCAGGAATGGAAAAATTAGCCGTCACTGAAATTCAATCCAATCAAGTGAACCAATGACGACGGGAATGAGATAAGTGAAAGCAGTAGATATTTACATCATATAATGTAAAAGCAACTAAAGGAATTTGAGCAAAATTTGAGATTGCATATAATGCCAACACTAACACAGGAACACATGAAAACAGGAACATCAGCAGCATATGGGATGCTAGAAAATATTAAAACAACGTTTAGGGCTTAACCAAGGCTCCTTCAAGGCGATCTACCAACCTGTCCTAATAGAACATCGCATTTTGATGTTTACTTTACCTAAGGCCAAGAATGGTCGAACTAGAAAATGGTAGCGACGAAATTGACATATTGTTCCTTTTCCAGTTTTAGGTCCTCTGGTAGGTTACGATAAAGGAACATTAATACGGCAGTTTCATGTCTTTGGGAAATCGTAGGAGGACGGACTGGATCCACACACCATTTGAGACCTTTGTAGGGTTATGAAGCACTGGGGTGAAATTTACTTCTTGTGTAGCAAAAAACAACACTTCAAAAGTGCAGAGGTTTGCAAAGAGAATGGTGCCAGACCTATGTGAGTTAAGCTATGAACATATAATATGTGACTAGATCTAACAGCCCTAAAGGATAGAAGAAAAAACATGATCAAAACATACAAGAGAATGAGGGAAATAGTCAAAGTAGTCAAAGAAAGCCTGATTAAATTGAGGGAACATAGGGCAAGAGTGCATAAATTGAAGCTGAAAAGACAAATGAGTTAAAGAATTGAAAGAAAATGTTCATAGGATGTACGGCTGATCATCAAGTGCAAAGCAATTAATGCTGAAGTTCTGAAAGGCTTTGAATATCATTTTAAGAAATTGTATTTATTACTTCTAAGCCGACTGTATTATAAAATTATTTGTCACCAATAAACTTCCCTTCACACATTTTGGGTTTTTTTATATTTTAATCTTAAGTTGGTTTAGTAGTGTTGGCTGGTCATCCTACATCCGATTTCCCAGAGACGTTTCTCAGCCAGGTGTTAATGGCGTCTGGGTGGTCCTGGTGTGTCTCAGCCAGGTGTTAATGGCGTCTGGGTGGTCCTGGTGTGTCTCAGCCAGGTGTTAATGGCGTCTGGGTGGTCGTGGTGTGTCTCAGCCAGGTGTTAATGGCGTCTGGGTGGTCGTGGTGTGTCTCAGCCAGGTGTTAATGGCGTCTGGGTGGTCGTGGTGTGTCTCAGCCAGGTGTTAATGGCGTCTGGGTGGTCCTGGTGTGTCTCAGCCAGGTGTTAATGGCGTCTGGGTGGTCCTGGTGTGTCTCAGCCAGGTGTTAATGGCGTCTGGGTGGTCCTGGTGTGTCTCAGCCAGGTGTTAATGGCGTCTGGGTGGTCCTGGTGTGTCTCAGCCAGGTGTTAATGGCGTCTGGGTGGTCCTGGTGTGTCTCAGCCAGGTGTTAATGGCGTCTGGGTGGTCCTGGTGTGTCTCTGCCAGGTGTTAATGGCGTCTGGGTGGTCGTGGTGTGTCTCAGCCAGGTGTTAATGGCGTCTGGGTGGTCGTGGTGTGTCTCAGCCAGGTGTTAATGGCGTCTGGGTGGTCGTGGTGTGTCTCAGCCAGGTGTTAATGGCGTCTGGGTGGTCCTGGTGTGTCTCAGCCAGGTGTTAATGGCGTCTGGGTGGTCGTGGTGTGTCTCAGCCAGGTGTTAATGGCGTCTGGGTGGTCCTGGTGTGTCTCAGCCAGGTGTTAATGGCGTCTGGGTGGTCCTGGTGTGTCTCAGCCAGGTGTTAATGGCGTCTGGGTGGTCCTGGTGTGTCTCAGCCAGGTGTTAATGGCGTCTGGGTGGTCCTGGTGTGTCTCAGCCAGGTGTTAATGGCGTCTGGGTGGTCCTGGTGTGTCTCAGCCAGGTGTTAATGGCGTCTGGGTGGTCCTGGTGTGTCTCTGCCAGGTGTTAATGGCGTCTGGGTGGTCCTGGTGTGTCAGCTCAACAATGTATCATGTGGTCACATTCTTCTGGTGAAACGATACACCGTAATATCTGATGACTACATATGTGTACTGGTGTGACACATGAAGTTGGATTGATTAATAAAGCACAGCTTAATAACCTATCTGAAAGTCATATGGCCATAATAACTATCAAGACTTAGGGTTTATTCGGATACTTAGCACTTCCCTCTGTTTCGCGTAGTTTCGGCAGCAAATAACAACTATTTCCGTCACAGTGCATTCTTGCACTAGCTGGAAGTAAAGGTTTGTCGTGGGAGGACCATTGGACACACTCAAGTCTCACCAACAACACTCAGTATGGGTGCCTCCTCTCCCCACCTTCCTCCCCCGAGGTTGCTTACATTCGAGATTCGGAAGGAAGATTTAAAGATTGACCGGAATGTGTTCCAGGGATTTAATGTGAACTAGGGATTTATATTCCCTAGATTGCCCCACCTTGCTCCTAACCTGTATGGGTTCCATCCTGGAAGAAGCACACAAACTTGATTTGCTGAATATTTTATTAGAGAGGGACCAAGTTCTCAGGCGGCATTTATTGACCTCCAAACTGCGTTTGATACAACAAACAGAGAAACAATCATAGAACAACTAGCCTCTTTTAGAGTTAAGGGAAGACTGTTGAGATGGCTCAGGGGTTACCTGAGTAACAGAACATCCTCAGTCCTTTTCAAGGGGGTTAAAAGAAAACATTGTGCACCCTTTGAGTTGGGTACACCCCAGGGAGGAGTGCTAAGTCCTATACTGTTCAATGTTCTGATGCACAAATTAACAATTGATATTCCCACACTACCTGACGAAGCCGTCATCTGTTATGGTGATGCCATATGCATCGTTGCAAATACCCAAAGTAGGCTACAAGCTCTACTTGATGCTCTCACTGCTAAAAGCATTGAATGTGCTCTTGTTTTCTCTATAATGAAATCCAGATCACTCCATCCCGAAGACAAAACTCATGTCTCCCTAACTTTCAAGGTCAACAATCAGAACACTGAAACGTGTGGGCAGCACAAATACCTTGGAGTTGGTATCATCAGTGACATTGTAAACGATTTACATCGTAGGTTAAAGAAAGACTTAAACCACTAAAAACACTTACTGGTAAGAATATTTATATCAATAATAAATGTGCTAAATTATTCTATATGTTGTTTGTTAGATCTCTAGTTGATCATCAAGCCTTGCACCTAATTAATTTCCCCGCCTCTGTGTTGAGCAAACTTGAAGTAGTATGTTGAGTAGTATGTTGAAGTAGTACAGAATGAAGCCATAACGATAATTCTTGGTGCCCCAAGATGCACAAGAATCATCAACATGAGGGAAGAACTGAAGCTTCCAACCATACTAGAGAGAATCATGCAAGTCATCACGACCTTATGCCTTAAAGTCATGAGAGACTCTACATCTCCTGCATTGCTCAGAGATAAATTACCCAATGCTGTTAACACCATATTGACTGGTGCCAACATACCAACTCACTCCTTTTATGATAAATGGCTGAGCAAAAATGCCGACAATCTCATCAAACTCAACATTCCTTTTAAGTGCAATCTACCTGTCTTCGATATTCCTCTTTATATGTGCCCCACCATTCAAGTATCATGCACACCCGTCACTATGTAAGGTAACGAGAATCTTGCTCTTCTCAAAGTTGTCACACTTAAAACAATTGCCTCCTCCATCGAAAATTTAAGATCTCACGAGCACTGTGTCTACACCGACGGCTCAGTTCAATCTTCTACTGGGCGGACTGCAGCAGCATGTAGGTTTTATAGAAATAATATTTGCACACAGACTATCAGTGTCAGGTTAAACATATGGCTCACCTCCACACAAACAGAACTAGCGGCACTACAACTAGCTACCAGTACATTAAAAGCATAGGAGGAATAATATATTGTGACTCAAAGTTTACTCTTCAAGCAATCGAAAACTTCTCGTGGAAGATCGACAGCAAGATCTTCATTCTACCAATTATAAATGACCTAATCGTTGCACAGAGCAAAGGGTCTCAAATATCTTTTGTTTGCATACTATCACACATTAATATAACCCATCATAATGAGACAGACATTGCAGCCAAATTAGCGTGTAACAAAGATGAACTTGAATTAGACCTGGGCATCCCCATCTCCGCTGTCAAAACTATATTGTTCCAAACACTCAGGTCTGATAGGAGAGGAATTACTGACTCCCAACAACCTAAAAGCATCAGTATAAACAGCTATGATTTGTTCAGATCTGAAACCTATGTTTATGGGTAGCACAA